GTAATAATATTACTAAAATTAATATTTAATATTTTATAAAGAAATTAACAATTATTTTTAATTTCGCAGGCAAATTTTCCTGCTAGACAATCTAAGGGATAACTAACCTAATTTATAAATAATAGTTAATATAAATAATAAAGATAAAATACATAATAATTATATAAAAGATAAAAATAATAAATAATATAATAATATAAATAAGTTGAAGAAGTTGACTATGTTAAAAATGTTGTAAATGTTGTCAAGATAATTACACTAATTAATGTAGATCTTTATGATGTAGTAATTTTAACGAGGTCCGGTATGAGTAGGAACAAATATAATATAATTTGCCAAATATAATTGTATTTCAGATAATCTTTTATTATAATAAAATAATCAAAATAATTAAATAAACATTTTTATTTTTAATAAATTACATGATTACCTAAAAAGATTATTCAATAACTTTAAATAATTATTAATATTTTTTAAATCAGTTGGTATAAAATTAACAAGTTTATTATATCAAACCTTCGAATATGTTTTTCTGATAAATCTGCATCATAATAATGGATAATTAAATTTTTCATAAGATCTGATTCATTTAATGCTATAATATCTGTTATTGAATGCCAAGTAGATTTTCATTCATTATAACTAATTGCAAATCTAATTATATAATGTAAATTAAGTACTTCTTTAAGTAATCTAACATCAACACTATTTGGATTATAAAAAGTAAATGAATTTGATATAAATAGTAGAATTGATGAAATATCTTTGATATTAAGTAAAAGAGTTGCTATATGAGAAATGTGATCAATAGAAGTTACACTTGATATAAGAGATTCATGTAAATCATGATAATAGTCTACATTAAGAATTAAAAGTTTTTATTGCTAAAAAAAATTTTTTTTAATTAATAATAAATTACAAATATTTATAAAATTTTCTAACATTATCTAAAACATATCATTGAACTATTTGCTTATATTGTTCATATGTATTTACAACTTTTTTATTATTATATACAGTTTGATATATTATGTTAAAACCTATATTTGAAAGTGTATTAATGCTTATAGTTCAGTGATATGCACTTGAAAGATTGGAAGCACCTTTGGAAGGTTTGGAAGCACAATTTATTAATAAAATTATTTGGATTGGAAGTTTCTAATCAAATTTTTTACTATTAGAAGCATAAAATGCATATCACTGCTATAGTTAATATACTAGTACCAGTCATATAAAATCTAATAGTATTTTTAGTTCCACTAATTTATTTATTTCGTAATATTACCATTTGATAATAAAGTAACATAACCTTTTGTTTTAATTGTTATTATATTTTTTCATTTTTTCTACCAGAATTCATAGATTCATATAAAATATTAAAAAAATCTTTATTAAGTAGATAAATTCATCAGTATTTTAAATTGGTAAATTTTCTTTTTATTGATACTAATAATGAATTTTTGTCATACATTCTATTTGATCTGTAAAAAATTCAGAAAATTGTACAGATTCTATTATAACTATAATAAAAAATTAATTATTGTAATAATATAATTAATTAAAAATATTATTTTAATATTATTATTAGCATTATTATTTTGAGTTTCCTTTAAAAAAATCAATTCTTTTAAGCTTCTCAATTTGCAATTCTAATTATTCTACAGTTATTATATTATTTATAAATTGCTGATAAACTTTTTGAGATAAGCAAATTCTTTTACTTGAATGCTTTCTTTATGATAAGCAGTATCTTTTCTATTATTAAGCTTTTTGGATTTTTTTGGAGTATTATGATTATAACAGATTAGTTTATTATAATGTTTTTGATATAATTCATTACTAACCTGAAAATTAATATTTAGTAAAGATATTTCAAAACTTTTTCGTATTTTAGTTAAAGTTTATATTTGTAATTTTCAAAATCTTTTTTTGCTTCTTTCATTTTTTTTACGACCACATACTACACATAGTCCTTTATTTTGATGATATATTTAAAATAATTAAAACTTCTAAAAGAAAGTGATTTGAAAAAACTAAAAGTTAATCTAAAAAGACGAAATGTAAAAAAAATAGTATTTTAAATTTGAAATTGTATCATTTTGTAGTATTATACAAATTTTCTAAACACAATATTTTTCTTTTTATAGTATATGTTATAACATAAATGTCAATTATATTAATTGAAATTTTGTGATATATAATTAGCCAATCATAATGGTTTTTAACTATACTAATTTGATTGATTATAAATCGTTTGTAAATCAATTTTACAGATCTAATTTCAAGAATAACAATATATTTAACATATAAATGGATAATATAATGTATGTTCTAGTTAGAAATTGGAACTGTCTCCTAATTTATCACCCGGGTATTTGTATCACTTTATATATCAGATACCCAGATCAAATTTAACATAACATATATAATTAAAATTTCACTTTATAAAAAATTTTTTCTCACTATTATATTATAATAAATGCTATTTTTTTGATTTTATTGATTATTTTACAACTAACAAAAATATTAAAATATGTTAAGTACATTTGAATTTCTTTTTATAAATATTATTTTACCTGCTAATATTGGATTAAGGTGAGTACGTTTAGCAGTTATTTGATTATCTGCATCAGAAAATAATTTTTCACTGGCTATCGAAGAAGCAGGAATAGATAAATACTTTTTGGCTAATTTTGCTACATTAGGAAATTGAGTTTTCTGAATTGATTACCACTCAAAAGGATTTATATTATGCTTAGCAATTGGAGTACGAGTAGGATCTAAATAACATTCTAATTCATAAAAAGAATTTGAATTTGCTGTAATTACACTGAAAATAGAAGAATGTAATCGATTTTTATGAGAAAAATTTGATTGGTTTAAACTATTAGGAGATGATATTGGTAAGGCTGAATTTGAATCAATTAATTCTTTAAATTGACACCTCAATTCTTCTTTTGCTTTATTTTGAATTTCTTCATCCCAATTAGAAAGAATTTTTAACCACAGATCTAAGAGAGATGCTAAAAGCCCAATCATTATAGGTTGATTCCAATATTTAAATAAAGAATCATAAATAGTTTGTTTCATTATTGCAAGGATATCAGTTTGAGGAGGAGATGTTATTGTTGTTGTAGATCGAATACGATGATGATTTCGTATTGGTTATTCTAGAGTATTAAACTCTAAATTTTCATCATCATCAGTATTGCTATCTTCATCTGATGATTCTTCATATCAAAAATTAGAAGTATCTGTAATAACCTTATTTATTAATTAATTAATTAAATAAAATAAAAAATTTTAATTTTAAAATTACCTGCTTGTTCTATTATATTATAATTATCACATACATATTTATATTTAAGAACTTGAATTAAAGGATAAATAATTGATAAAGTTGCATAAGATGTTTCACTAAAATAAGTAGTTGCATTATTAAATGGCTCTAATAAATCAACTATTTGCTTTAATAAATCCAATTCATGATGTAATAAAAGTCATTTTTTAAGTTTTTTTCCATCTGCACGATCATCAGAATTTTCAGATAAAGGTAAAGTAGCAGCTAGCCATTCAATAGCTTTACGTAATTTTAATAAATGATACCAAGAATGATATTTAGAATTCCATTGTGTCTTAATATCAGTAATATTTCTTAAAATTGATTTATTTGGATTAGATGAAATATTAATAGTATTAGAATCATTATCACTATCATCATTATTAGAATTATCATTATCAGAAAATTCCAATAAAAATGTATGTCATTATATTCTTTTTGAGCATCATCAAGACATTCACTTTGTTTAGGAGAAGTTGTAAAAAATTGTACTAAACGTTTAATTTGTTTAATATAAATGCTAGATTTTCTAAATGCATGATAAATTGAAAGCTGTAATGTATGAACAGCACAAGGTAAACACTCAACATTATCCCATAAATCAATTGCTCAAACTATGTTACTACTATTATCAGTTATAACACAGGTAATTTTTCCATCTAAATCAAACTCAAATACTTTTTTTTTTAAAAAAGTTAAGATATTTTCTTCAGAATGTGAATATGTCATACGTTTCATACACAGAAGACAGTAATAAACATCAAAATCACTTGATATCCAATGTAAAGTTATACCAATATATTCATATTTACTTCAAGCTGTCCAAAGGTCCATTGTCAAAGAAGCTATTTCGCAGGTATTTACAAGTAGCATCTTTAATTCTTCAATTGAATTAGTGTATCCAATGTGAATTTCCTTTTTAATTCGTTTATTAGAAGAAATTGGAAATACAGGATCAATAATTATCACCATTTTTCGATAGCCTTTATCCTGAATTACATTAATTGGAAGATTATTAACAACAATCCATTCAGTAATAGCTTGCCTAATTTCTTTATTTCGTGATTCTTTATGCAGTTTTATTTTAGATCGTTCTAAGATTTGTGGTAAAGTTAATTGAACAGATTTATCTTGAAGCTGTTATAAATAAATAAATAATTAATTAAATTTTAATAAGAATTTTTAATAATTATTGACCATGAAAAATTATAATAAAATAAAAAATTAATATTACTTTATTCATTTCCTCATGAATATTATGTTTTCTGCGAAGGTGGTTTGCCATATTACCTGTAGAACCATCATGTAAAAATTGTTGACCACAATATGTTGCTTCATTTTGTAAATTTAAAATTGAAACTTGACAAATATCATATTTGACGTCTTGGTCCATATTGAAATATTCTCATACCCAACTGGTTTTGACATATTTATGTTTGGGTTTATTTAACTTAAACTTTTTTGATACATGTGATTGTTCTTCATCAAGAAGATTTTCTGGAGTTAATGATCGAACTCTATTACTAAAGGCAATGGATATGTTATCATCATCTGAATGTATGTTAGAAGGATTTTCTTTAGAAGGTTCATCATTCATCATTTTTTGAGGTTAGGAGGTAACAAATTGAAAATTAAAAAACAAAGACAGCTTGGAAGAATCTCATAAATTTCTTCCATATTTAAATTTTTTAAACAAATAGAAAACTTGTTAAAAGAGGAAAATTGATATTTTTTGTAAAAATAAATAAAATTTATGCCTTAAAATTAAAATATTATCCTTAAAAAAAACTTTCTCGTTTAACACTTGTATATCGGCAAATTAATTAACTAAAATATCAATTTTGTGAAAATTATGTCATAATTTGACAGTTATGTCAATCATCTGGTTATTAAAAAATATCTGCATCAATTGGGTTAATTAACCTAAATTAATAACCAGATGATTTAATCAGGTTATCTGGGTTATTAAATTCTAAACTGGATCAAACCAATTTAATGCGAGTGATCCGGGTGACCAAAACTGGTTCCAAACTCTAGTTCTAGTTACAATATATTTTATTATAAGAAACTTGATAGTAGTAGATTTGATAACCTAAAAGAGGATTTTGATAATTATATAGAATGTGAAAAAAGAAAAATGATAAAATTTGAAGAATTTTACTTCAAAAATTTATACTTACTTTTATATATAATACAAAGTCAAAAAATTTTAAAACTTTAACTCAACTTGGCATTTGTTTTATAACTTATAATTTTATTAAGTTAATATTATAAATAAAGTTGTAATTTTTTAATTATAATTAGTATTATATATTTGAAATTATCTTATATATAAATAAATACCTATTATTTATAAAAAATTATATATAAATCTGTTTTTTAACTCAATTTTGATTATTATATAATATTAGAATAGGTTTTGATTGATTATATAACTAATCTAAAAAAATATATTAATAGATTATTTAGATAAAATAATTAAATAATACAATAAAAGAATTATGTTTAAAAATAAAAGAAATAGTAAATATATATTCAAATTTAATAATAAAAATCATTATAAATTATAATTGGTTAATGATTATGATATAGTAAAATAAATGCTAGCTAATTTATATAATAAAAAAATATTTGTATAACTGTTAACCTTTAAATTACCTATATAAAAATACTCTTTAAATTATGTAAACTTTTACTTGTAAGCAGTGTATAAAATCTAAACCAAAAATTATATGCATAGTGTGCATATTTATATAGTATCGTATGTGCATAAAATATTTTTAATGTGCACGAATTTTTTAATAATATGTGCATAGTATGTATATGTGTATTATTAATTGAAAAGAAATGCAAGAAATGTATATAAATAAAAATAGTCACAAATTAGTTATAGTTATTATTATCACATAATCTAAAACTACATATTATTTTTAATAGTAATTAAACCTCATATAATCACAATTTTCTGATTGACTTATATTGAAAAGATTGAATTAGCTGGCAGTTTATGGTGTAATTCAAAAATATAACACTTAAAATTAGAACACTGTAAAAATATAACACTTTGCTCTTTGATAATTTTAATGAAAGTTTTTGCATTTATTCTATAGTGGTATTTTTTATTAATGAGTTTTACGCAAATAACATTTACACATAATGTATATACAATTTTTTTGTGCTTTCTGGTCTCTCAATTTTAAAATATTTTTCAACTTTTTATTTGATTTGTTTTATTAAACGAATTTATAAATATCTCTTGACTGACCCAGACAACCTTCTGATTGACTTAAGCAACGTTTTGCTATAAGTATCAGTCTCAAACATGAAATTTATGAATGTCTCTGAATTAAATATTTTTTACTAAACTAGTTTTTGGCTAAAAAAAGATAAAATGTGAATTACTGTTCTTTTGAATATAAATGTTATAGAAATTGACAAACTTAAACCATAGGTGATTGGTATATCAAAATATCAATGATTTTTTTTACATGTTAATTTAGACCGTCTTCCAATTCATTATTGAGAAAATCATAAGGTATGAATAAATTCAAGAATATTTGAAGAAATATTTCTTGATATGAATAGGCATTTTAGAGTGCAAAATAAAAAGATTTTACTCTTAATTAATAATATCCTATCATACAGTGGCTTCCAAAAGAAACGCAAGTGGCATTGCTTGCCTTTAAATGCCTGTAACTCACTGT